ACTAAGTTATGTTAAAGAGTTAAATTTGTAATGCACATAATGACTTCAAATGCAAATCGACCCAGGTAAAACCAGCAAGCGCAAATTTTGCAGTGGTAAAAATTAAGAAACGCAGAAGCACTATCAATATTTCACTTTTAAACAATTATATGTTCAGCTCAAATGTCAACCACGTTTGGACTAGGGGTTATCATGCAATTCAGGGGTTTGCGCCAGCAAACACCTGCATTGCATGTAACCCCGGGGAATTAGCATCAAACGTTCTCCAACGGGGTGTCCTGTAATTTCTTTTGTACTTTCTTCGGGGTTTTCAGGGGTGTGCTTAGGGTGTGCACAGTTGTTTATGGTAAATCAAACATATCAATATTTCACTTTTCAAGAATGAGCGTTTCAACAATTAAATGTTCAGCTGGAATGTCAACCACATTTGGACTAGGGGTTAACATGCAATTCAGGGGTTTGCGCCAGCAAACACCTGCATTGCATGTAACCCCGGGGAATTAGCATCAAACGTTCTCCAACGGGGTATCCTGTGCACAGGTTTTTATGGTAAATAGAAGGGAAGTTGGATACGCTTTTACAGGGATTTTACAGGCATTAGCTCGGTAGCCGCCAATGCTAGATTACCCCACTTCAACCTACTCCAACCAGCACTAATTCACATCACACGCACCCACCCGTGCAAAGCCGCGTAAAGTTCACGTTTTCATTGGCTGAAAGCAAAGAATTTAATTTTGACCAATCACATAATTATATCAACTGAACCAATCAGCGTTGAGGCAGATGAGGCAGATATAGCCGTGAAAGCTAGATTATCCCAAGTCAAACCACAACCAGCACTAATTCACATCACACGCACCCCCACCCGTGCGAAGCCGGGTCACGTTCACTAGTATGTATATAATCGATTAGCTGGAATAAGTATATAATCCATTTTCTATAGGACAAAGAATAAATAATTCATTTTCGTTGATGGAAAGAATAGATAATTTTCATTAACCCCCAAAACGAATAAATATTGGAAACGAGAGGAATAATTCATGATGCCCTTAAAACCATTCGATACAAGCAAGGCTGTGCACCACTCAATTCAAACACAAGTCGTAGCTGTGTTCATTCTCATTTGTGATGAACCCAGCCAACACCAATATCCTCCGTGGTCGCCAGCTCGCCGAGCTGTTTTTCACCCGTACTGCTCCTGGTAGCAATGTGTGGTCCTGTCGCTGTAGTGTAAAGCGCACCCAGAAAGGGAGTGGTTACACTAACTTGTGCTCGTCCTTAACTACTGACCATCCTGAGTATGTCACATTTTACGCCTCCAGCCCCCCCACTCCTGCCGTACTGTTCGAGACATGGTCCCACGTCTTGTCCACACAGTATATGGGTGGTTGCACTGGATCTCAATATCCCTGTTACCCTTTTCATTTGTGGCCAACCCATTCGTTCGTCGTTACACGAACTTGGACCCCATCTGCCGTAACACATTGATGAAGTACACACATGGCCTTATTGAGCGCATCGAGAGCAAGCTAACCTTCACCTTCCCCGACAAGCTCCCACTCGTGTTTGATAAGAGGTCCTTTGGATCAACCCATTATGTGGCTCTTTTTGCAACAATCCCGTCCGACGACTCAATTGGCTACTCCCAAGCATTGTTAGCATTTGCACCAATCAACGAAAAGGATTCTCTAAGTGCGACAGTGCACTTAGCGTTTGCGAGCTTTGTGTTGGAGTTGTACGGAAAGTCGTGGGAAAACGTCGTCGCACTTATCGGGGACAACTGATCGACGAATGTTGCCTTTGCGGGTTTGGCGGGTGTTCGATTAGTGGGTTGTGCTAGCCATCGATTCAACTTCTTTGTGTCCGACCTGCTGTCCAACGATGATGATGTGATCCAAAAGGTGAACATCTCGATGCTTAAGCAACGCAAAATCCTTCCCGCGGCACGCCTACGTCGTATCAGACCCCGGCAGGCCAACACGCTCAATGCAACACCCTGGATATCGGTGTCCAGCATGTTAACTCGCTACTCTGATATCAAGATGTTCATTGGCCAGATGGGTGACAATGATATCGACATGTTGGGATTGAGTCCTGTCGAAGTACGCGAAGTTGACGCGTGGCTAGTGATCTTAATTCCATCACCTTGGCGCTCCAGCTTGAAGAATGTACCCCTTTCGACGTGCAGCGAAATTTATCGGATATTGAAGATTATCTGGATGTAGCGCGCCGGTTGGGCGAAACCGCTGACATTGTCCACTACATTGGTTTCGAATCTGGTGTCGTGAAGATCCTCCGTGGAAATGAAGAGGGGATGTCGGCCACCGAGGTTGTGGACGTCCAGCCATTGGCATCCAACGCGGCGAATCAAGTCGCGGCGGTTCAACCCATTTTGTCCTTGACCAACTCGCGTTGTAGAAGCAACGCGTTGTTCGAGTCGTCGGTGGGTATATGGACTGTCGATTTGTTCACCCGACATCTAACATGTGTGAGCGCTTGTTTTCGTGACTAAGTTTGCTATCGGGGACCGTCGTTGTAGCATTACCCCAAAGAAATTCGAGAAGCAAATATTCTTGCGCGCTAACTCGCACCTTTGGTGTGTTGAAGACGTGCATGAAACTTTCATCTCCTTCAACTAGAAACTGTTTCTGTAAATACAATATTTGACTTGCTATGGGGAATAATTAATGGATGCGGTCGGTGCAGAATAAATTATTCATTGGGTGGCACCTGTGAAATGAATATCAACAGCTGATTTGAAAACGAATAGATAATGCTCTCCCAAGATGTGAAAGAATAAGTACGAATAATATTTTGACCACCTGCTGATTCAGCAGGTGGGTCCATTTGCGGCATCTACAGTCTGTAGGCAGACGCCGTGTATGAGTGCGCAGATTTTCTCGCCAGGACCTATAGAAGCTTTGTAATGTAAAGCCAGTGTTGGCACGACGGGTGTCTTGCAACGAGTTCCTCATCTTGAGGAAGTCGTTGTCCACGACTACCCCATGTCGTAGGTGTCGAGCTTCAATGTCCTGTACTGTGTATATCTACCATACTTTATTCAAATGAAACAAAATGAAAAATCTTAAAGTATGTACAGCGTATGTGTCGGAGCATTGAAATTCTGTATTTAGGGTAATCAGTTACAACAGGTTGCATATAATTTATACAAGGTTACTGTTTTATACAGTTATATTTATGTTGTAGATGGATGTCCACCGAGTTTAACACTCGACAAAACCTCAGATCCAACCCAATGTGGCTGTGTCGACTAGGGTACTTCAAACCCAATCTTGAATGACTGTTACCGATGGCGTCTACGCCGTTTTTGCATTTCATTCACGTGACGGAATGGTCAGCATTATATGACAGAGGTTTAGACTCGAACAAATAACGAGGTGTGATTGGGCAATACAAAGTTATGCTAAATTGGTTAAGTTATCTTAAACTAGTCTTTTAAGTTACGCGTAACCGTAAATTCCTTCCTTCCACGGGTGGAGTGCCTACCCGCCTCATCCTCGAACACTGCCCACAGCTGGCACCACCCCGAACGGACGCCGAACTTGTTACACGGATGCGAACTCGTCAAAGGCAAACTTAGTTAGCCGGATAGAGTTACGCGTAACCGTAAATTCCTTCCTTCCACGTGTGGAGTTGCCCTGTAATCTGATCGAAATGAATACTAGTATTACTACTCCGGAGTAGTATACAAGGTGATGTAATTTCGTTCACAATGCATTCGGATACTAACGTTTTTTCAGACTGTTAATAGTTTGATTAATTAACTGCACGTAGAACGAAAAAATTGTAGAGTTTTGATCGATATAAAGCGACTTGGGTACTAGTACAGCCGTACCATCAAATCGTACTATGTTGGCAATTTGGGTACAAATCGATAAAGCAAAATCGTGGGGACTGATCGTGGGGACTGATGCATAAGGTATGTATATACGGTAGTACATTAATGCACTGCTCGAACTGACTGTGAAACGTTGTTTCATGGCGTCGACTCGGGATATATATAACTACTGCTAGTATTACTAGAACGCGTCGCGTACTACTCGGAGCAATTTGTCACAAAAAACAAATGTTTACTGGCCAAACAAATGGTCGCGTTTATGTGACTTGCGTGCACATGGCACGGACTTTCGGTTCAGAAACCCCCATTGCTATTCCGACCTTTGGCCATGCAAAGTTCCTTCGACGTCATTATCGTAGAAGGTTGAATGCATTGTAGAACTCCACGTGTCATCTGCATTCTCACGGGTAGAGCTACTTATAACGAGAATGTGAGACTGTGGACGGGCGGCCTCTTGTGTCGTGAAACGTCGAAGGGCGTGACGTCGAAGTTTAACCCTGACTATTTCGAATTTCTCGAATCCGTTCAAAACGTGGTGATTTGATTGGTTGGAACGTCCCCACTTCGAAGTTTTCCAAAGTGTCTGAGATTAATACGCAACCAACAATGTGTCTGATTTTGTGTTACAATTACGAGGCAATTAATAAAGTGTCTGAAGTATTTACTTGGGGATTGTATGTACTTTAATACCGCGACACGATATTAATATAAATCGCGACGGATTGAAATGGCCGGTCCTAAGAATCGTTTCTTCGCGACCTGGCTGGCACCTGTCAACCACCACCAGACACAGCAGTACCCCGATGACATTAACATCCTTGTTGTGCTCGGATCCAGCATCTTACGACCAGGACATGCAAGAGGACGACACAACCGCGGAAGCCGGAGACGACAACGGCCACCAGAACAGCTCGAGCTCGAGCAGTCCGAGCAAGACGGATCAAAAGATGCTCGACTACTTCATGGAGTTCTCCAACTCGTCCGACGAGAACCGCAAGAAGCTCACACGGCGGGTCAAGCACCGCATCAACAACAAACGCCACCGCCAGCGAAAGCAGGTTGAGCTGGACCAGCTGCGCCGCGACGTGCCCGATCTCGAGCGGCAACTGCGAGGCCTCGAAGCCGTCGTTGACTCGCGCCGAACCACGGCCGCCCAAACGAGTCTGTGGCATCAGCAGGTGCAGGCCGAAAAGAAGAAGCTGGACGACGCCGTCGAAGAGCGCGACTTGCTGCACCAGACCATCAAGGCACACGAGGTCCTGGTCGCGCTGTACGAGTCGCAGCTCCACAGGCCACACACAGTTGTGCCGTGGCTGCAGGAAAACAACCGACCGTCCCCCCCTGTGCCGCCGCCGCCGCCGCCGCCCCCATCGTCGTCCGCCAGCTCCAATGCGTCCACCGCCAGCACCACGTACCCCCCATCGTTGTCGTCTTCGTCGTCGTCACCAGATTCCACCACCACCACCCATTGCTTTGCCGACGACAACCACGCTGCAAGACAACCTCCTTGTACATGAAGACTCTCTATCTCCGTCCCACCCACCTCTCGTTCTGTGTTGGATGCCATGTGAATATATATATATATATATATATGGCTCTCGTGACTGAATCTATATATATATATATGTATAGCTCGTGCATCTCTCCATGTTCGGTGGCTTATAAATGTGATTATGTATGTGCTCCTTCGTGTAGTGTGGATGGAAGGATGGTTGGAACTTACGGGATCGTGTCGAGATATCATATGACAAGTAGCACGGACACCAACCACACGACAAAGACACCATTATTGCAGAGGGAATATTAGATATATTATTTATTATATATATTATTCAAGCATTCTTTCGATGGTCCTCGGTTCATATTTGCGATAAAGTCGCCCACTCGAGTCATAGCTAGCTATTCTTGTACAGTACTACTACTACTACTACTACTACTAGTACACGCCATTCCTACAACTATTAATACTTAACAAGTACTACTACTACAAAGACCCAATAGCCAATAATCGCTCTATACTATTCGAATAGTTACACTATTCTAGTATTCAAATACTAGCAATCGTGTCGTCCATATCGCCGTCGTCGTCGGTGGCATGCTGGCCTGTCCATCCCGCTCACATGGTGGACGAGCACCACTATGTATGTATCCATCGTAATTAGGTGCAGATGTGTGAAGAGTTGGTTGGGTGTGCACCTGTTTAAACTCGGCAAAGCTGAGCTTCTTGTCGTGGTTCAAGTCGGCATCTGCAAAGCAAGCCGTGGCCGTGACCTTGGCCAGCTCGGACGGCGGCACGCGCATCTGGTCCTTGGCGCGATCGCTTGTTTCGTACATGACACGAAAGATAGACGTCATGTACCGGATCATCTCGTCCAGCGAAATATACCCTACACCACCACCAAACACAACAACAGTAGTACTAGTAGTAGTACTAGTAGTACTAGTAATCGTAGGATTGAAACGAGTGTAACCAATAATAAATTCCAATGCAAGTTTATATATATATATATATATATATATATAGATGATTTAGTAGTTGTAGTCGTAGTCGTCATCGAAATAATTCACTATATTTTTTCTAAAAACAATAGACTAATCGACCAGACTCGAGGTGGCCGTATATAAATCAAAACAATTTTTAAACACTTAAAAACAAAACAATAAAAAAAAACTGCTTGGTGGTATTTCGCAGGTTCAGTACGTGTTTTCTTTGTCCAAGTGTATATATATATATATAAATAGGTCATGCAAGTTGATGATGTACATGTACTAATGTGATAGCGACAGATCCACCGTCAAGAATATATATAAAAGTGTACAAATTCCAAGCGTACCGTCTCCATTTATGTCATACAGTCGAAACGCCGCCGACACTTTATCATCCATAGAAGAGCCCGAGAGGACGCTGAGGCCGCTGGCGAGCTCGCCAAAGTCCACAGCATTGTTCTGGTCCGAGTCGAACACGCAAAAGAGACGGCGGATCACCACGGCCGCTTCCTGTTTGGCTTGGGGTGAATCATATCTATACGCATGGAAATGAATATTCAAATAATATATATATAGTATCAACAACATACAGTATGTCCACGATGGAATATCAAGTTAGCAACCACAAGAGAGTGATCGATCCATGTATTGCTTCATTTAGAGTATTGTCAAGTCGATTCGAAATAATTGGAGTGATGAGGGTGGTGCACATCAATCGAATGACCCAATCAGGGCAGACAATCGATATCTCGACCAATCAAAACCCACAACTCGACTCAAGTAGCCAATCAAAGTATCCACTCTTCCATCGAATTAGAGTGTGTGACCGAAATTAGTGTGACACTGGTCGATCTTTACAAAAGTCAGTGAATGAAAATCGATCAAACGATCGATATGGCAAAGAATCCGCACTAAAGTTAACCAAATTTGAAGTAAATGGATTACAATATTTACCCGCCAGCCAACGCCACCATGTGCTCAAAACACTGCTTGAACGCAGCAAACCCAAGCTCTCCGTTGGGTGCAGCTTCGGCAAAAATCTCAAAAATGTCGCCCACAGCGTACTGATTGAGTTTGAGTAAGTGGCGAATGCGATCCATGTCACTGCTGGCCGACGGGTCCTTGGGGACTGATGGCACGCTCTTGTCATCGTGGAGGTACCACCGCTCAAACTCGGCCAACGTGAGCTTCCCATCTTGGTTCAAGTCGGCTTGGGCAAAGCAAGACTTGGCTGTGACCTACCATACATTTATATATATATACACGAGCCTAGAAGCGTTGCAGCAGCAGCAGCCATAATATATCACGACCAAATGGATTGCATCATTCATTTGTAGTTTTTATCACAAAAAGAATAGGTTTTCATTCGTTTGTACAGATATATATATATATATAGATGGATAGATGATATATATAGAGACAATTCATATTATATACATACTATAGCATCCACAAAATATTGTTTCAAAATACGACCGTATTTGTCGTACCTTTGCACCCTGGAATTAAATTTGAAGAATTTATTTAAATATTCGAATTGTATACTTGATTCAAAATTGTATTAAATTATAGAATTATATTCGCGTTTTGTATTTCATGGTGCAGATCAACGACAAATACGGTAGTCGTTTGTCGTCGTAGTAGACATTAGATAGGAGTCGGAACATGATCCACCAGTATATATATATATATATATATACCCAATCAAGATCTTGGCCCAAAGACGACAGGTGTAGATCCAATATTATGTACAAATAAGTAAATACATACACACCACCCTAATTCAATAGCATATCTATCTATCCATGTACCTCGGCCAACTCGGACGGTGTCACATGTTTGGGGTACATGTCGGTTTCGCAGAGGATTTTATACACGGATGTCAGGTACGCAGTCATTTCATCCAGCGAGATAACTCCGTCGCAGTTGGCGTCATACAAGTCAAAGACAGCTTGGACTTTGTCAGTGGGGGAGCCGCCGCAGAGGATGCTCAGGCCACTGGCTAGTTCGCGAAAGCTCACAAACCCATTCGCGTCAAACACACGAAAG